ATGGGGAGGTAGGGGGTTTGTGGGGCTCTGAGGGGATTTGGTGGAGGGTTGGGGGAGTCCCTGGGGGCAGGGCAAGGGGATTCTGGGATCCCACAACTGCTGTGGGTAAGACCAATCAGTGGAGGGGTTTGGGGTCCCCACAGATGCTGCGGGCACAAGTGGTGAACACGAGGGGATTTGGAGGGTCCCTGCAGGGATTGAGGGGTCCCTGAAGGTTTTTGGTGTCCCTGCAGACACTGTGGGTGTGGGTGCTGAACGGGGCCCTGGGCGCCCTGGCCCTGTTCCACCTGTCCTACCTGGGCGCCCTGTTCGATGTGGAGGCCGAGGATGCTGTGGAGGAGCAGGTGGGACCCATAAGCCCCCCCAGACCCTTCCCAAGGTTGTCCCTGGTGTTGGGAACACCCTGACACCATCTTGTCCCCTCAGGGCTACGGAATGGCCTACACAGTGCGCAAGTGGTCAGAGCTGAACTGGGCCAGTCACTGGGTGACGCTGGGTTGCTGGGTGCTGGCCCGACTGCTGCGCTGAGGCTCGGGGAGGGCATCAGAGAGTACGGCCACTCCGCACCACCGGGAGCGCCTCTCACCGCTCTCTTGCCGACATTTCTCTGGCGGAAGTGACGCCGCGCGGCCGCTCTGGGACCAATAAAGCGTCGCCTCGATGGCTCCTGTCAATCATTCCTGGCCGGCCACAGGAGCTCTGGCGCATGCGCGGAGTGGCGCCCCCTGCCGATAGCGCAGAGCCAACGCTTTGACCAAAAATGTCTTAATTTACATGAAAACCACGGCGCGGGGCCATATGGGCCTTATAGGGACCTGGGTGCCAGCGGTCCCTATAGCCCCCGAGAGGGGGGAAGTGTCCATATGGCTGCCACGGAGACTGAGGGGTCCATATAGTCCCTACAGAACCCCAGGCGGGGCACATGGCCCCTATAAAGCCTGCAGGGGGGAAAGGGAGGGTCTGCACGTATTCTATAGGGCCCTGGAGTGGAGGGCTCCAGACTGTCCCTATAGCGCCCAAGGGGGACTCGGTGCTGTCAGGTGCCCTTGTCCTTGTCGGGAGACCTGCAAGAGAGAGAGACCCCAGGGCTGAGGGCGGCCAGGGGGCCCTGTGGGAGTTCCAGATGGATTCTATACGGGCTAGGGAGAGCACTGGTGGGTCCTGCATGGCCCTGGGTGCCTCCTGTGGCTTCTGGGAAAGGTCCCTACAGATCCTATATGGCCTTGGGGGATGCCCTATGGATTCTATAGGGCCCTGGGCAGTTGCTATGGATTCTATATGGCTGGGGGGATGGTGTCCCTATGAATTCTGTATGGCCTTGAGTGGTCCCCTATGAATCCTATAGGACCCACAGGGGTCCCCATAGCTCCCCACCCCCCTGTGTTAGTGTGTTAGTACCCCTCCCCCCAGCACATGCTGTTAACCAAAACCACCTTTATTAGCCCCAAACCTTGTTAAAAATAGGCCCAGCCCTTCCCCCCTACAAAATCTGTACATCTGGCCCCTCCCCCACCAGGTCGGGGGCAAGGGAGGAAGGGGAACCCCACAGAGGGGCCGGGGGTCCCAGTGAGCCCCTCATTAACACAAACTCTTCCATTAACCTCTGACTGCATTGGCCTCATTAATCTCCACCTTGGGGTCCCCCAACACCCAAAGAGCCTTAATGAGTCCCCACCAATCAATGTGCATTAATGAGCTCCCCATCTCCTAATGAGCCCCTCCATGTCCCTCCTCACAGCACAGCCCCAGGTTTGTCAGCCCCTAACAAGCCCTAATGAGCCCCCAAGATGTAACAAACCTCCCCAGGTCCTCAATGAGCCCAATGAACCTTAATGAACCCTAAGATGGGAGTCCCAACTACCTAATGAGCATCAGGACCTGAAGAACCCCACCAGGACCTTCACTAGCCCCTACAAACCTCTCCAGGTCCCTAGTGAGCCTTAAAAAGTCCCCACCACCCAAAGAAGGCCAAGATCCAGGTCCCCCCACCTGCTGACCTCCCCAGCTTCTCTACCATCCCAACAAACCCTAATGAGCCCTAATGAACCCTCACCACCTGCTGACTCAAGATCCGCTGACTGCACACGGGGCTCCAGACCTGCTGACCCCACACCTGGGTCCCCTCCCCAGCTCACGGCCCCCCCCTTCCCTCCCCCTACCCGGTGGGTCAGGGTTGGCCCTGGTGATCCCAGGCCACCCCCAGGGTGTCCCTGT